TTCTTACCACACCTGGTGCATCTGTCCTGATTGAAGTCTGGGGGCAACCCCCACTTCGTCGGACATTCCGCCGCCCTGTGGTCCTCGTACCCACAGGTCCAGCAGACCAGCCCGTATCGACCCGGCGTGGGCTTATAAAAGCCATGCCTGGTCGACCATGCCCTTCTATTGGGGTCCTCCTCCCATAATTCTGCCCGATCCACCTCTTCCTTAACCCTCTGATTCCACACGGGGTTCTTCCGCCTACCCCCTTCTTCCAGCCTCCTGACTTGGTATCTGCTTCTTCCCACACCTCTTCACTTTATCCCACACCCCTGGCTCTCCCTGGCCAGCTCTATCGCTGCCGACAGTCTGAGCGGTCCTTCTTTCAATACGTCGTGACGAACACGCTCGTCGCTCAGCGCCTCTACATACAGGTCCGCCAGTTGAGCCTGCATAACCGCATTATCCCTGACCACTTCGGGGAATGCCAATGACGATAGCTTCCCCGCTCGGGCCCCTAATTCTCCCGGGGTTTCATCCCGCAGCTGTGTTAGTTTTAAAAGGGCCCTCATGGCCTCTATGGCCGTACCTTCGTCGGCGAATTCTTTGGTCAGTAGTCTTTTTATTTCTTCCCAAGCCAAGCGGGGTTGGTTCTCCAAGAGCCCCCTCACGAACTCAGACGCTTTTCCCTTTGTGGCATCGTATGCCAAATACAGGGTTTCTTGGTCCGAGAGCTCGTAGATGGTTCGGCTCTTCTCGAGGATTGCCAGCCAGTTTTTAAACTCCTTCCCGCTGCCATCAAATACTGGGACCCTCGGTCCACCCAACAGCTTCCTTAGATCCACTGACAACCCCCGCCCTACTTCTTCTTCACCCCCCCCCACTGCTCTATCCGAATCATAATCTGACATGTCTACAGAGAAAGACAGTCTATACAGCAACAATCGAGGTTGGGAAACAAAACAAGGTGTCCTACCTTACAGACGATTCTGTTCTTTCTTTTCCTTTGGTCCCGGGTCGTTCTGAGTTCTGTCTGAATTTTCAGCAACGGCGGTCGATCGTGGTCTTCTCAGGGTTGAAATCCCTCGGTCACCACGGCACCATATGTGACGTGGTTGTCTCAGGGTTGATCCGTTGGTCACGGCACCACTTGTGACGGTTACACACCTGGCCCAGGGTCGGATCCTTTGGTTACGGCGCCAACGGTGACGTCGCTCCTCCTGGTCGCTCCTCCTGGGTCCAAGCGTGCCGCTCCAACCCCTTGGTCAGATGATCACCAGCCTCGCCTTTTTCCGACTCGCTTCCAATACCTGGTCACTAAAGCAACTGTACCGATCTCCGGTCTGTCTACCCACGCTGTGTTTAGATCTTAGACAGACGGGACCAGCAGGGATTGGGGCCGATACAAGTTGAGTCCGACGGGGTGGCAAAACACAAATAAAAGAAAAATAAACTCACGAGACAAAAAGATTGCTGATGAAAAAAAAATGGGTAACAACCTTTTATATCTTAATGTCCGTTACATAAAAACAAAATTGTTCTCATTTCCCAACCCGCTCTGTGGACTATGGCACCAAGCTTCTATCACACAACCTAAAGATTTCGAATTGCCTACTCTTTAGAATTGTGTATGTCGGAGTGTGGTTTGGTTCGACACTGGGGCTAATTTCTATCGATCATTCGCAGTTGATTCTTCTCTTCGACTTGAGTTGTATTTCTTCTTCTTCGTCGACTTAGGCTGGAAGTTCTCTTGTCTTCGACTTGGGCTGGACTTTGGACTTGGAAGGATCTCTTGCCGCTTCTTCGTCGACTTAGGCTGGAACTCAGCTGTCTTCGACTTGTCGTCCGGGCTGAAGTTCTCTTCTCTTCGACTTGGGCTGGAAGGATCTCTTGCCGCAACTCAGCCGCAACTCTCTGTCGTCCGAGGTGATCTCTTCTCGCTGCCGTCCGGGGCTGAACTCCTCTGTCTTCGACTTGGGCTGGAAGGATTTCTTGTCTGAGGATTCTTTTGCCCGCAAAGGGGCGAGTGAATCGGGCCCGATGCCCGCGTTCAGGCTCTTTCCCTGCCCGCGGTCCAGCTGCAACTCTCAACTCCAACTGATTTCTGTCGACTGGGGTCCTGCTTTTATTGACGCCGCAACAAACTGGGGTGGGTCTGTCGGCGTCAGGGTTTTCTCGATAACTCCAAAAGTCGCATTATTTTTGATTTCTCATTATCGCTATTGTTTTCACCCCTACTTCCTCACAGTGCCTTTTGTGGGGGGAGGTGCACACCATCTCTCTTAGTCTCTCGTATGTCAGGTGACCGTTTTTCGACCAATGGTTCCTGATCGGGCATTTCTTTCTCTTCTTTTCTGCAGATCACGTGACCGTTTCCGACCAATTGTTATTGATCGAGCATCCTTTCTCCTCCTTTCGGGCGTGGTTACATCGTTCTTGTTTTTAAAAAAAAAAATCCAATTTTGCCTTTTTTCTGCACGTACGAAAAATGACAATCTTGGCTTTCTCTCACCTGGGCTCTGTCAACCAGCCCCCGCCGCTAATTAGTTGTGACTTCAGGAAAGAATATTGTCGCCATCTGTGATCTGAGACAATCGTTTTTTTTCACCTCTTGTTTTTTTGTCAGACCCGGCAGTCAGAAAATCTTAATTTATCTGAATTGAAAACATCTTTCACTCGTCAATGTGGGGTTCTAATTTTTAACAGGTCAGAATCTGTATACCGTTCCACCGGTCACTCCCCTCAACCCAAAAACACTTTTTCTCTGATTAAGATTTCGTTTTCATTGTTCCCAAAATTTCCCTTTATCCAAATTGATAAGGTGTCTTTCTACGCAAAAAGTAGGCTAGATGCTTTGACCGATATCTGGTTTTCATCAAGCGGCCCGTTTTGATATCATGTCTTTTCCCTTTCTTTCTTTTTTATTATTTCTAATTCTATTCTTCCAATTGTCTTTAAAAAATTCGGTCAACATGCTAGCTAAGATATCTTTCTGACTCGTGTTTTTTGTTAATGACCGCTTTTTTATTTTCTCGACCTCTCTCTTTTTTCTTTTCCCCTCCTTCTTCTTCCCTTAGGATCGTCCAAGTACAATCTTAGTGAATTATTTTCAACTCAATTATTTTCCGTTTTAAAAAAAATCAACAACCTGTTTAGTAAACTATAGTCGGAGGCGTAATAATGTGAAGAAATAGATGCACGCCTTTCCCCAGTGTGAACTGAACTCACCAAAGGACGAAACTTGAACTCGGCTCGCCGATTCCATTCTCCACACGGATAATCCTTACGCTACCTGCACATTAGTGCGGGGAAAATAAAATCGGTTTGATGGTTTCAAATCCCAAACGATTCACTTCACTCTAATGGCATTAGGAAAGGCATGAATCCATTACTTTTCCTTCCCACCCATAATCTTTTGAACAGGGGGAAGAGATTTTTTCTTTTATTCCCTGAGCTCTGAAATGTTATTCACTAATTATTTAATTGTTTATTTCTTATCTCCCAAAAGGAGTAGATAGATTTATCCCTTGTTACCTTTTTAGGATTGAGTTTCCGGTTCTTTATAAAGTCTTCGCATTCTCTTTCACCCTCAGTAGCTACTTGTGTCTTAGTGGCCTTATCGCCTTGCTTGGGGTACATTATTTGAAAAAAAGAGATGAATCAGTGGTGTTTTCTTAGGTAGTGACTTAAACTTAAACTTGTACCAAGCCTACGAGGCTGGTATCCCGCTCTCACACTTTCACTGTCGAAACTACTAAATGTAGCAGTCTCTTCTACTCCAATAGCTTCATGTCTCGCACCTCCCTTCCCTATTCCAGTTTCCCTGATAGCTATAATCTCCAACTATTCAAATGTAATGTCAATTGACATCTCCAGTTGCCTTGATCTATCCACTACCCTTCTCCTCACACTTTCCTCTATCACTCCTATCTGATCTTGCTCCAAATCTTCTGTAACCCCTTGCGTCCTAGTGGCTTCCCGCTTGCTTGGGGTGAAACGCTTAAAAAAAAAGCTGAATATGATAATCTGATCAAATACCTTACTCAACCAGGCTCTAAAGCCATGATGGAGTAGAGGTTTATCCCTTGTTTCCTGAACTCTGAAATTTTATTCACTAATTATTTATTTATTTTTCTTCTCTCCCATTAGTAGCAAACAGCTTCGCCTATCGTCCGGTTCACACTCCTCCCGGCCTTTTGAATAGTAGGTTTATCCTTTGTTCCCTGTTTAGGATTGAGTTTCACGTCCCTTCTAAAGTCTCTTCATTCCCTTTCACTCCCAATAGCCCCTTGTGTCTTAGTGGCATTACTTGGGGTAAATTGATTGAAATATATTGAAAAAAGAGGTGAATCAGAAGTGTTTTCTTGAGTTGTTACTGAGTAATTTAACCTTGTACTAAACTGAATATGATAATCTGATGAAATAACTTACTCCTCCTGCCTGTAATATTATCTCTTGTTCCGTTTAGGATTGAGTTTCCGGTTCCTTCTAAAGTCATTTCATTCTCTTTCACTCCCCACTTGAGTCTTAGTGGCATTATCGCCTTACTTGGGTTGAATTGTTTTTTTTTAAGTTATTCGCAAAATAGCCAGGTGTACTGGTTTCTTTATCTATTTTAAGGCAAGCAGTCTAACAGACGGAACTTTAAAACTGTGGCGAAATTAATGAAAAATAACACCAATACTTTTTCCATTAAAGATTCATGGTGGTTTGCAATTTAGAGATTTTCAAGAAAGGAAATTGTGAAGAGTCATGACCGAGAGAAAGAAAAATCATTACTAACAAAAGTGAATATATACATAAACATATGTGCCCACTAACAAAAGGCGTCCATCTTAACCTTACCTTAATGCTTGGGGGTAACTGCCTTAATCATTAGATGCTTGGCGGTTCCTGGCAGTGTTAAACTTAGTTGCTTTGAGGCGTCTGTTTTAACACTTAGATGCCTGAAGGTGCCTTCATCATTACTAAAAAAAAAAGTGAATATATAAATAAACGTATGTGTGCATTAAACTTACCTTGATGCTTAGATGCTTGGAGGTAACTGCCTTAATCATTAGATGCTTGGAGGTTCTTGCCTTAACACCTAGATGCTTGGAGGTATCTGTCTTAACACTTAGATGCTTGAAGGTGGCTACATCATTACTAACAAAAGTGAAAATATATATATATATATATATATATATATATATATATATATATATATATATAAAATTAAAAGGTCTGGTCCCTCCTCCCCAATACTAAGTATGATTGAAAGAAATATTAAATAAACCCTCTCTAAACTCGACCATGTCTCTCAAACCACCCCTCATTACCCGTTCTGTTAAATTACAAAAACTTACACTACCCATCAAAAGTATGAATTTTCATTTCATCTTTTGGAAGTGCTCTCTGGTGATCCAGAGTCCTTTAAAAGGGCTCTGGTGAAATAAATTATTATAATGGAACCTTAAAGTGGTTTGTTTTTATTTAATATATATATATATATATATATATATATATATATATATATATATATAGTCATCCACATACAGACTGTTTCGCAGCTCATCAGTTTGGCTAGACATCCGATTGCTTCAAGCCCAGATCGAAACCCGGCCGATTTGGCATCAGTTAGAGATTCTATCCACAAGCTATCGGCGTACGACAGAGTGGAAGGGAAATTTTAACGTTTTTATTATGCGAAAGACGTCAGTAGCTAGGAGAGTTCAATTCGAGTAGAAGAGCATTACATTAGCAGCAGCAGCCACTGTTTATAAAATAACCCTTATAAGCAAGGTCATATCAAAAAGTGCCGAGAACGTTGTTATATTAATGGAGCTAAAGTAAAGCAGAGTGAAACCGCTTTGCACAGATTGACCTTGAACTCTATCTCATATATATCGTTCTCGCTAATTTCCGTTGTTTATATTCCCACAGCAAACGTTTTACATATTCGTGTAAAGTATTTACTATCTTCTTTTAACCACTTAGAAAAATGGACTTAATTCTATGTTCAAGTTTTCCGGCTGCCTTTTGTCATATTCCTTGTTACCCTTTTGTTTGTTTGTTATTCAGACAAAACGAGTTTTATATGTGCATTTATTTCTTTTTCTAGTTTTACCTTTTGGCTTTCAATAAACCTGCCAATGAACAGGATTTCATCTTCAGAGTTTTAATTGCCTTAAGGCGTTTATCTGGCTGTCTTTATGTACACACGCGTGAGACAGATGCGTACCCTAGAGGCAGAGTATTCTTTGTGTGATTATTGTCATTTAAGAATTATATTGGACTTTAAATGATGTCCAATATAATTCCTAAATAACTAACATCATACTGAATTAATGCGAATATAGACAAAAGCCCGTTTTGCACCAGAGTCAAAAAGAAAAACATTAGTCTGGTCTATATCTAAAGTTGGTCCGTTGAAGACGTTCTGTTAGGCAACAGGTTTTATGTGTGCGTGTCTTGGTCAGATACGAGATGTGGCTGCTCCTAGCTAATGATTATGGAGATTAATGAATCTACAAGTTTTGTGGCTGTTGTTGCAGTTTATTCCTTCATAAATCCGTTCGCACATCCACTCACACGGAATATGGCACAAGGGTAAGGTTAAAATGAGACTCCCACACATACACGGGCCTAGAGACAAAAATAGCCCAAGCCCTTCAGCATTTCCCATCTTGGGGTCATTTCAAACATCAGGAATTAATTTTAACCCCGTCTCGAATGAGATATACTTGCTCGGTTAGTGACAAAATTATTTATTTCTGTAGATTTTGTTTTGGGGTACGGAGCAACACTGACACCAAATGATGTTGCTTCAGTTTCAATAGGAAATTAATTTTTACGGGATCTGGTTTGTCATCCAGACGCCCATGTTAGACTGCTTCATAGGAGTGAATGACTCCAATGACCTTACCATTTAGTCGTAGTAAATGGGAGAAATTAATTCATACCATTCCTAAGGGCATTAGTGCGAAGTAAACGTAAATATCGTCGCTGGAATTTGAACTAGGATCGTCAGTTTCATTCTTGGGGATTTTTAAACCATTACACCACCTGCAATTCCTATGACACTGGTAAAAAGAAAAAGAAAGAGTTAATTTGGAATATCACTTGGAAGAGACAGAGGAGCTAAAAAGCACGAGATGACATATAGATTTATGTCCGCTTGCCTAAAAGTGCAAAGCTGACGACACGATGTATGCTGAATTCCCAGGAAGAAAGAAGAAGTCAGTTGAGTATAATATCTGATAATTTACGGGGACAAAAGCAGAATGAAGTGACTCTCCTATGCCTGTCTTTCAGCAGGCGGAAATAGCCTCGCCTACCTTAGGATTTTATCCTGCGTTGAAGGAATTCAGATGGGGAATGGACTTGTGGAGCTCATTAGTACTATTATTGAAAGTTAAAACGATAGGTACAATTAATGACTAAAAGTTGAAACCGCCTTTCTGCCCACACAGTTTGAAATTTGAAGTTGTCAAAGAAACATCTGAGGTAACGGGCTTAGATGATACACTAAGAGAGACGGAGAAATTATTTCTGCCCATTTGAAAGTAATTGTGCGAGGCATAGATAAGAGAAAGAATTAGTTATACGGGCGGGCCAATACCTGCAACCACTACCCGAAGAAAGAGGAATCTCCCAAATTTGGAGAGATAGTTAATATTATAAACCAGACAACAAAGGACCTTTGCTGTAATTGTTACAGAAACCTGCGAAATTCCCAAACACCGTCAGCCCCTACTTCAATTTTGAATCAAAGTCAATATAAGTAGTTGCAGGCAGAAGACGAGACGAGACAGCGGCGAAGGAGCTACTGAAACCCACGTGACCTACTGCCAAGAGAATTCCCGACAGTATTTCGAGAATTCAGTATTCCAAGAAATTCGCATCGATAGGCAAAAGTGTTATTAAACAGATTTTAGTCGAAAGTTTAATTTTTGCTATACCAAGAACTATATAAACCAAATCAAAAATTGACCCGAAGACTTTTTCGTTTTTATTACTTCTGCAAAAGAAAAAGACATTTCTATTTCTTTTTTCATCATAGCACAGCTCGCCGTGGTTTGAATCAGCGCTACGATACTGACGATTAATCGATCCCTACTGGCTCTGTGATAAAAAAATACAGTGTGGGTGGAGCAGGGTGGTGACTGAAGTGGACAGCGACCAACGACCGTTGAACCATGAGAGTATCGATCAGCGTGGGATTAATCCCGCAATTAGTTCCTCGTCCTACGTCCCTGAGGGCCAAGACATCTGGTCTAGGGGACTGGTAGCAAGGATCAGAACGTCTGGTCACTGCTGACCAGACTGACCCAGAATCGACCACAGTGTTAAGTGTTATACTCCAACAGAGTTATTCTTTTATATGCCGTGTCCCTTCATGCAATGGGCGATCATAACTGTCCACAGCTTCCTTTCATACATAGGTTTAAGTAATGTTTGTAAAGGGTGTTCTAATAACTTGGGCCGATTTTAACTGTGAATTAAGTTTAAACGTCTAATGATTTTTTTTTCTTTTTCTTTTAGATTTAACAGCTTAAGACTGGCAATTTCAACCCTGGAAAGATTAACAATCAAACAACGTGTTACAGTTATTGAAGCCTGGGTGTTCAAACAGAATTTGAATGAGAAGTTCGCATAGCGCATCATCTCTCGAAACAGCGAAGTTATTTGGTCACCATGATCATGCGGCTCGACGCCTTTAGATTTCTTCCTTTGGGGTCATCTCAAAAGTAAGGTCTATGTCATCAAGCCAACAACAATTCAACATCTGATGGATTAGATAATAAGGCATATTGGGAAGATAGAAGAGCAACTATGCAGAGACATCATCAAAAATGTTGACCATCGAGTGGAGGTGTGCCGCTGAAGCCTTGGCAGACATTTGGACGATATTATTTTTCACACATAATTTCCATGACTTAAATAACATGATCCAATAGAGACATAAATAAATTTTCACCAATATCACTGATTTTTTTTTTACTGCTGATTGTGATCCATCTTAATGAAACACCCTTATTTTTACCATCTCTCCCAGTCTCTGTTATGCCATCCGTAAGGTCTCTGATCGGGGGTGGGGGTCGCGAAGCAATGGAACGAACTCTTAATTGCTGTTGATCCCAGGTACACCCTAACCCGAAGTGGTAGTACCTGATACAATCCCAACTATGAGAAAATAGTGTTTTTGATTTGTTTGGTAGTTCACGTGTACAAAAATACATTATGTTAAAAGTACCAGCAATAATAAATTTATTTAAAAATACAAAAACAATAGTAATACATTTATATAGGAAAATCACAATCAGTTCAGCACTAAAGTATAAAAATATATTTTTACGGTGAAAGTATCAGCAGTAGATTTATCTACAAACTATATATCTAAACATACGTTTGCCAGGCAAGTATAAAATCATGTACAAAAATATCTCGTTGAAGCTATAAAATTGCGTACGAAATATTTAGATTTCGGCATTAAATAACTGCTGTAGCATGCATACGGACGATAAAGGATATGTAGCCATTCGCATAAATACAATAGTAAATACTGTATGTTGGTCTGCAGTTGGAGATTCGTCTACAGCTGTGCTGGTCAAACTCATTGCTTCTGAGCAGAGAGGATCCCAAAACGAGGCTATGTCGAAGGGCAGGGTCTCGTCTACAGCTACCCGACCGGGGTCTACGGGGAATTTTTGGCCGAGCCGTAGGCTCGGATGCCACGCATTAAATTCGGCCTTGTGCCATATCTGACCGCGTGGAGTGGTTGGTAAATATCCTGCAGTTGGAGATTCATTGTGGAATTCATTTGATTCACTTCTAGCAGTTGACTACTACTTCTACGCGCCGCTGGCGAATCTTATATGTGTTGTTCTTGTCCTAAGTATTATCGTTCATTACCAACCTTCGTGTGATTATTCTATTCAGTATCCTTCCCTAGGTTACAACAATAACCCATAGTGGTGTTGATATGCCGCTAAGCAAAACAACTAACCAACCAACAGCTATCCGTTTGCCAAAACTTGTTAGGTAGGTTTCTCGTTTTTTTCTTCTATCCTTTTTG